GACCCAATGTTTGTTGGACCTAATGTTCATGTTAGGTTCAATTTGGGTTGAACCTAGGGCTAGGTTCAATTTTTGTTGAACTTAAGGATATGGATTTTGGTTGGGTCTAACATAAATTAGAGCCAACATTTAGGGTTAGGTTTAAGTTAGATTGAAACTAGGTTTAGGGTTTAGGTTGGGTCTAATATAAGTTAGACTCAACATTTACAGTAAGGTTCAAGTTAGGTTGAACCTAAGTTTAAGGTTTAAGTTAGGTCTAATATGGGTAAGACCCAACATTTAGGGTTATGTTCAAGTTAAGTTAAACCTAGGTTTAAGGTATAGGTTGGGTCTAATATGGGTTAGGCCCAATATTTAGCGTTTTTTTGGGTCTTTGGTGGGTAGACCCAACACATAGGGTTTAACTAGTTTTAATGTGGGTAAACCCAACACTCAGAGTTTAGTTGGGTCTAAGGTGGGCAGACCCAACACTTAGGTCTAGGTTAAGTTTAACTAAAATGAGCTAAGTCAAGTCTAAGATTCAAACTTAATTTCAATTAGGTTGAGTCCAATTGCGAGTTCCTTCTGGTTAGGGCTTAATGGGGTTAAAACTAACCTAAACCCAAGCTCAAATTAAACTAAACCCTAGGTCATATGAAAACGAAGCAAAACGGGGTCAAATAGAGCAAAGGACCACAAAGTATACTGGTGTCGAGGCATTAGCTCTGGTACTTAAGCGTCATACCCTGTATATAGAAACAGAGAGCTCGACACCATGACGCTAAGAACTAGCGCCTAGGCACCAGGTAGTTAATTCAAGCTTCTAGAAGACTGGTGCCTAAGCGTTCAGACTAGTGCCTAAGTGCCAGAATCAAATTTTTAAGGTACAATGTATTTTGACGAATTTTGAAGGGGCATTTGAAGCGACTCTTGGGAATTTCAAGGGTTATTATAAGAGGGTGTTTCTTCAAGTAAAAGGAGGCAAAAGGGTGGTTAGAGAGGTTAGTGTAGGGGAGAGAGGCTTTGTTGCTAGTGGTGATTGAGAGAAGAGAGAGAAAGAATTCTTAAAAGGAACTTCAGAAGATTTGCTTGGGGAGGAATTTGAGATAAGTGATTTGTATTTTTGTTTAAGTTCTTTTAAACTTTATTGTGTAAACTTGATTTTATATATCAATTCATGTGTTGTTGTTTGTTTCCCATGAAATTTGAGTAATTTTCTTTTTTTCTCCTTGTGCTGAGAAATAATCATGTGTAGGGTTAGAATTGTTTAGAATTGTTTTTAATTTTAATATTGTGATGTTATATTACTTCATGATTCATTACTTATGCAAAATGACCAATTCATTAAAAAATATTGTGAAAATGTAATGACCCAGGAGGGCTATATTTTTTCTCAATTTGTAACTACCACACTAACCTTTAAGATGAAGAAAAAGTAATATTAGGGTGAGTACAAATAAATAGGGAGATAAGATTTGACGGGTCTAAATTGGTGATTCTAGGGTGATAGGCTAGAACCTTCACCAATTTGATATAGGGATTGAAACTTAAGACTAGGTTAGCCCCAATTGAGGGCTTACGTGGGTACTATAGGTTAAAAGGCTAGAATCTACCCAACATAACAAAAAATTTAAGAACTTAAATCTAGGTTAGCCAATGTTTTTTATACACTCAGAAGAGGGTAAATAAGATGTATGTTTCTATTTGTCATAAAACTACATTTAAATTTATAAACATTAGATTCCTGCACTGATTATAATCTCATTGCAAGGAGAAGGATTTTCATACAATTTGAACTCTTCTACATAAAACTAGTTTATAAACCTTTAGCATTTTTTTAAGTTTAGAAATAGAATTTGTAGGTATTAGTTACTTCTTTATACACATACAATTTCAACCTCAATTCCTAGATAAGTTACCTGCAGTTTAAGTAGAGTTTTACTAAGTCGATAAAAAGAGTTTTTCTTTCCCATGGCATTGATACTTAGGGACTAAAAGAAAATCCTATATTACTCAAAATGATATGTGCACTTGCATAATATCCCTGGTGTGTAAAACTGAATTGTGGAGAAAAATGAGAATTGTTTGTTAAATATCACTCAGTCTAGAATTAAGGGTGCAAGCAAATACGGGCAGTGGGAGTTAAGTTCTCGACGCCTTTGTCTGAGTTTGAAATTGAAGTAATTACACACTAAGCACGCACATATTGTGTTCGGATCAAGTTTTTGATGTTTTTGCCGAGGAAGCGACATAACAATTGACTTAGAAATTTTAGTTGAATTGTAGACTTCTTTTAAATTATTTTTTAGTGTTTTATTAATTTTGTTTTTTGAACTTTTTTTTTGTATGCCTAGTTCAGGATTTGAAGGTTAGTATGTTACGATTCTAAGTTAGATCGAACTATTTAAAAAAAATTGAAAATAAAAGGAACTTCACAATTTAGAAGAAATGACAAACACATCACATAACAACTTAGATAATCAAACTGTTAAAAATGAACATCATCATGTACACAGACTTTTAAAGGATTATGCAAACCCTACAACAGATGAAAGTCACCTTAGTATACAAACCCCTGCTTTAGCGGCTAACTCATTTGAGCTGAAATCCACTATAATCCAAATGGCACAGAACAACCAGTTTGGGGAAACTCCATCTGAGGATCCAAATTTACGTCTAGCTAGTTTTCAAGAATTGTGTGGTACATTTATTTACGACGATGTCTCAAATAATGCAGTTAGACTTAGACTTTTTCTATTTTCTTTAGATGTGGTTAAATTCTTTAACACCTGAATCAATCAGAACTTGGTGAGAATTAGCTTAGAAATTTCAAGCTAAGAACTTTCACCTTTAACAATTGTTAAGCCTAGAAATAATATTACCTCATTTACACAGTATGAAGATGAGTCAATATACGATGCTTGGGAACAATTTAAAAAAGTCCTTAGAAACTATTCCCATCACGCTTTACTAAACTTGTTGATTATTCAAACATTTTATAATGGGTTAGTAAGATCCATTAGATCTATCATTGATGTTATTGCTGGTAGTTCATTAATGTCAAAATCATTTGATGAAGCATATTCTTTAATCAAAGAAATAGCTACGAACAACTTTCAATGGCCCTCTAAAAGGGTATATCCTAAGAAAGTAGCTAGTGCACGTGATATTGGTGTAATATCTATTTTGGCTTCACAAGTTGCCGTAATATCTAGGAAGAAAGACCAATTCAGAATAAATCTACCTCAAACACCTCATTTGAGTGAGAAAAACTCGTTGGGACAAACGATTGATTCTCAATCAACTTCATATAAGACTTTAAATGTAATTAATCATAAATCCAATAACCCATATTCTAAATATTATAACCCAGGTTGGAAGAACCACCCTGACTTTAACTGGAATAATAACTATGGGGATTGAAACCAACACTAGGGAAACAATCAAGCTAACACTGTAGGAAACTGGAACAACCAGGATAGTATTAGCTATAGACCTTTGCATCCTTCTGGCTTTAACAATAACCAACAATTTAAGGAAAAAAAAATTGTCTATAAAAGAAGTGGTGTTACAGATGGGGAATCTATTGCAAAGTCAGAGTGCTACAATTAGATATACTGAGAATCAGCTGAGACAAATTGCTAACTCCCTTAACAATAGGTCTTAGGAAACTCTTCCTAGGAATACTGAGATAAACCCTAAAGAGACTAATAAAGAGCAATTTAAAGTGTCCAACTCAGGAGTGAGAGGGAATTAAATGCTAGAATTCAAAAAGAGACTAAAGTTGAAGAGATAGAGGAAACTGAAAAATACAAAGAAAATATTCCTAAGGATATGGAAAAATCTATCTCCGACTATAATCAATTAAGAGAAACCACCACCTCCATTTCCTCAGAGACTTGAACGACAGAAATTGGATCAACAATGTTCGACGTTTCTGAAAATATTTAAAAAGCTTACAATCAACAATCCTTTTACTAAAGCTCTGAAGCAAATGCTGAGTTATTTTAATTTTATGAAAGATATCTTAACTAAGAAAAGGAAGTTTGAAAATCACGAGACTGTTACACATAATGAAGAGTGTCTTTCATGAGTAGCGTGAGAAATAGAGGAAAGTGTAATGACACCTACCTCTCAGATAGAGCTGTAAATGTGTCGAACGCGAGCTAATTAAAAAATACCATTATGTACCACTCATTTATATCCCAAACAAAAAAGAAAAATTTATATTTAATTTGTTTGTTTGGCGAGCTGAACACAAGTTATTCGCGAACAAAGAATCGTTTTGACAATCCTAATCACGCAAACATAAGATATTAATGGTTAGAGTAATATTTAAATTTTATTATTTATATAAAAACATCATTTAAATATAATTTAATTTATTTTTATTTTTATTTTATTTTTTAATTAATAATTTTAATTGATTATAAATATTTAAAATCTCACAATCAATTAAACTTTTTAAAATTACCACTCATCAATTATATATATATAATTATACCAAGCTAAAATAAGCTGAACACGAACCAATAATTCTTTATTCACATTTAGCTCATTAAAATTATTCATGTTTAGCCCCTTAACGTACGAATCAAACACAAGCTTCTTAAGAAGACGAACACGACTTGTTCGCAAACGAGCTGTTTTGACATTCCCACTCTCATGTGTCATATTTAGGTGATTTCATTTTATTATTATTATTAGCGAGACTCGACGGAATTGTAATGAACATATAGCATCAATTCAATCCACTATAAAAATTACTCATTGTTAAATCCGTTGAGGTACTATATGATTACTCGGTGCATATAACAGTACATGTATATTAGAGACTATTTAGTAAATTATCCTTATCCACACTCTTTGCTAAAACAGATTTGGGTAAAAATCAATACAAATTCTTAATCCATATATATATATATATATATATATATATATATATTTTGTGTCCAGAAAAGTGGAAACGATCAAATTGCAATACAGTCTATACCTTTTGACATATATCCCAAAGCCCCAAAAAGCAACGAGACGTGATCTGCACTTTTGAAATAAATTCAGAGTAAGAAGCCAACCAAAAAAGCTAATAATAATCCTCAAAATCTGTCCAGCAATGCCTTCACATGAAGATTAAGGAGCAGTTAAAATAGCAGACGAAGATGATAATAATTTTAAATTTCAGAGGGGGCGGACTACAAAAACAGAAGGATTATTTCATAACATCATTGTCTTTAGAAAACTAGGACAAAATATGAAAGTACCAATTAACGCTGTCTTGTGTATGGAAGAAGACAATCATACATCCTCCCCATGCGTGAAATAACAGCAAGTTTGTGATCAATCTTCATTTCCGTCTTCGTCAGCTTAACAATATCCAGCCTGAGCCTGTACCCAAAAAAAAAAAAAAAGAAAAAGCAATGGTCATGAAGCTAAATTTTCCTTCAGCTCACAGATTTACCAAAATTGCTTGCTTTAAAAAAAGATTGCCTACTTAGCATCCACATGTTTTACATATTTGGGAAGAATGGCTTTTTGCATTCATCTTTCATTATTGAAAACGAGTAGTTTGAATCTGAGTTAAGGTTGACATATGTTTTCAACTTATACAACAAGTAAAGTGGGAAAAGACTTTTGGGTGTGAAATATGTAAAGAATGATGTTTGAAGTGCTATCTCTGTAAAATCCCCATCTTCTATTTAAAACAGTCGTGCTTCTCCCTATAATTCGTCCACAAATAAATCTTCCAAATCCCCTAAAATTCTCACAGAATTTTGTTGACCATGCTAAAATTCTTATTTCAGAACATTTTCTTTGTAATGACCAAACTATTCTCCTCAACTGGTGGAATCAAATTCTGCATTCCACGGATACTTCTAAAAGGAATCAATCTTACTAATTCTATGTATTATTGGAATTTAAGCTGTTGGTCTCTTAGAAATCTGGTAACGAACTCAAGATTGATATTTAGTGCCTTCTCTCTTCGGATCCCGTCTTACCAAAAAGTTCTCAAATTTCTAGCAACGAGAGCAAGTACAACAACTTCCAAGCTTATTTAAATGGTCGTATTTAGATCAACTAAGAGTCTGTTAAGGTCTCTTTCACTGCTCATGCCTTTCATTCAAGCATTTATGCCGAGAATGATGCAAATAAACGAATAAAATTATAGACTTTTATTAATGATTTAGATCAAATTTCTTGCAGTTTTGCGGCTACTTCTGAGTTATTTTAATTGCATCAGGGAGGTTGAGGAGAGAGCTGAAGGCACGTGCTCCATTTCTAACAATTGATTTTTAACTTCTGTACTACAATGCTAGTAGCCTTACAGAGCTTCCAAATATTGTTCTATCCTTTCGTTGGTTTAATCATCAACCAAATACATCCAGCTATTGTCTTTTGGATAAGGCTCTGTGTTATAGCCACTGTTTGCGCTGCAAACCTTGTGCTCACTTCAAAGTTCTTCTCTATCTGTCCTTAGAGATCACTCTTAGAAGATCAAAATACGAAGAGATATGGTGCCTCCGAAAAAGATTAAGGAAGAGCAGCGCTTGAACAGTCACATAGTCACCCCATCTTGCTTCTTGGCTCGTTTTGTAGATAAGCACCTGCTTTTCTTCAAGATATAGAGGCGCTCGGAATACCTGTTTCAAGTGGACAGATAAATGCCACGACGCTTTCGAGCAACTCAAGATGTACTTGGTCTCCTGCCCCTCCTTTCGAAACCTATCTAGGGAAAGAGCTATTTCACCTAATGCAATAAGCACTGTCCTTGTAAGGGAGAATTTTAATCCAACGGCCCATTTACTCTGTCAACAAGATTCTCTCCGATACAAAGAGTTGCTACCCGTTGACGCACACGACTATGTTAGCCCTGGTATTCTTAGCATGAAAGAGACCATTTTGTAAAGTTCAAAAGTACTTGGAAGGTTAATCAAATAGTCGGTGAATTGAGAGTTTGACATCCGATAGCTATCCTGGCCAAAAGTCATAAGTACTAATCGACTTTGGGGTCAAATGCACCGCACCTCCTTCTGGAAAACAACCTCTTTCTCCCACTATATCGCCTCAGTGTACTTTGTAGGTTGATGGAGCATCTAAAAAGCTCTAGAGCCAGTGCTAGAATATTACTATCTCCACGAAGCTGAACGTCTTGGAGCAATGACTCCGCTTAAATTTTCCAATGACCAATAATATCGCTAAGTATAAAGCCTTTAAAGTCGGATTGAAGCTCGCCATCGACTGTAGAGAGTGAAACTTGGTCATCCACACTAACTCCAACTAGTCTCATCCCAATTAGAGGGAGAATTCGGCAACCAAAACTCGCTGCTAATACAGTATCTCGATCTGATGAAAACCCTTCTCGCTCTGATCGAAAAGTATCAGATTATCCACATACTTCGGAAGCAGAACACCCAAGTTGATGCCCTCTCCAAGCTCGCGACTTTGATAATGTAGACCTTCTCTAAAGAGATGCATCGAAAAAATATCAGTCTATGACTTGCTTAAATAGATTTTACTGGGTCTTTAAGTACATTTGATCATATTGGGTGTATATCACTGATATTTGCATGTCATTGAAATTTATAATTCAGGTTATTGAATGACATGAAAATAAAATAAGAACGAGATTTATTATTTTCATTGCTTGCATGTGCATGTTTGGCTTTGATGGAATCATTCATTTTCTATAACTATTTATTAAAGAGGAGTAATTCTCACAATCTGATTGTCTGTACCTGTCTTGATTAATGCCAAGCTCTAGGACTGGTTGTGACGAGGTCAACAATCAGAAAGGTAACAATTATTTGTTAATTAAAATATTTTCATTAGTAGCTCTTTCAGTTAAATATTTTTATATTAAATTGTTACTAATAGATTTAGAAACAAAAAAACTTAATTCCACTGTCAAACCCTTTGTTCCCAACCAAGTTAATTTCAAGCCCCACGTCGGTTCATGACATAAGTCCTATGTCTACATCTATTTGACACCGTACTGCGTGAGTCTCCTTCAGGAAACCCTAAATCAATCCTTCCTCGATGAACTATTTCTACTGCTTTTTCACCTCGACATTAAGCACATGGTAATAAGCCTCATGAATGCAATCCCGAAAGATAGTCATAAAACATAAATGAGTTTAAGAAGCCCTCCACAGCTCTCATCTCAACTCCACTAACTTCAGTTTCCTTCTCAGACCTCATCTTCTAGACCTCCTCCTCTAGGGCTAACACCTTTGACCGTAGAGCCTTCACACTCTTATTACTCTAGCTGAGACTGACTCATGCCATCACCAACTTCACTCAAGCACTCTCTAGATCCGATGCTGTAGGAAGAAAAAAGTGGCCATTATGGAAAACTCTGCCTTGCACTCAGTTAGCTAAGATTCCAAGGCTGCAGCTTCCTCAGCTCTGGAATTGTATCAGCTTTTGTACTTGTGTTTGAGAAGCTTGATTTCACAAAGTCGAAGTTCTACGTCATTTATCCAATTGAAAAAATAAGATCACAAATTTGGCCAACTTTGTCGTCAGAAGCTTCATCATTTTATCCAATTGAAAAAATAAGAATAGACAGTTCTACGTCATGCAAATGAAAAATATGCGCGATAACGAAAGATAAATAAAAGAAAGAAGCTCACGAAGTTCTCAACCTTCTAAAACCCAGTGCACGAATGAGCCAACATGTTCTATAGAATGTGAATCTTCAAAGGATTGGGCAAAGAATTACTCACTTTTTTGCTCCTATTGCGCAACTTTTGAGATTAGTATCACGTAATTGCAACTCGAATGAAGCCTCTTTGGGGGTGCCACAGGGGCCGGCTAGGGGCACCTCTTCTCGGGTTTCTTCAACATTATTAAGAACGCTCGGGAAGGAGAGTCCAACCTCGAACAAGGCCTCAAACAGGAATTCTTCGATCACAAATTTGTAGATATAATACACCTTCAGATGCACCTTCTTGAAGTCACGAAATCCGACATTTATAGTATCTCATCCTCAATGATCTATGGGGAAAGGGGTGCCTGTTGAGGTTTCTCAAGTCTACCGTGAAATCCTCAATCATTTTTTGCGAAAGAAAAACCACACAGACCACTGTAATACCAGTTCCTTTATACGAAGATCCAATCCCTTGCTCTTGAAGGATGTGCGACCATATGTATCGCTGAAAAATCCCCCCCCCC